AGTTCATGTTTTGGACTAGTGATGTGGGGGACAGCGTGACCTACAAGTTCATGTTTTGGACTAGTGATGTGGGGGACAGCGTGACCTACAAGTTCATGCCTTGAACTAGTGATGTGGGGGACAGCGTGACCTACTGGTTCATACTTTAGATAGGTGGTTGTAGAGTGTTCGTTCGAGCCTTGCCTGGGGTTCTTTGTTCCAATTGCTTCAGTGTACTCAGTTCTATAGGATACCGTAGTAGACTGTGGCTCTGTCCTGGTGGCTTACTCGTGAGAACAACTATACAGGCTAATAATCTATCCATGTAATTAACTTCAAATAAGACCCAAAACTCGAGCGCTTTCGAATAATGAACTATTCGAAAGCGCTCAAGTTTTGGGTCTTATTTTAAGTTTATTACACTTTATATGTGATCCTTTGTGCTAACCCTTTTATCAAGATTAGTCTAATATTTTTGTCGCCCCGGGCGATCGGTTTATTTTGAGGCTATTCTTAGATAACCCCTAAGGGGTAGACTCTACAGGTTGGAAATCACTGCACTAATTACTTTTATGGTAGTACAAAACATTACAGTTTGATCATCTGAAGATAACCACCTAAGTTATCAATTCGAAATCTATTTTATAGCAAGTTTCATAAATTCCTTAATTCCTAAATTAGATTTAAAACGCTTCACCTCAACTGGTAAAGGTTACACTAAGCCGCCAAACACTGAAATAGATTATCCACTGGAGAATCTCGACCTTCGACCTTATTTCTCAGGAAATGGTAAGACTTTTTTTTGTTTGTTTTAGCAGAATAGTATGAATGAGCTGGAGTGTGGAAAATTTTCATCTTCGACCTTATTCACCTTAAGATTACGTTTTGGTTTTCAATGAACGTGGATTGATTTGGTTTGAATTCCGCGCAAATCTACACTAGGGCTATCTGCGCTAGTCGTCCCTGAGGACTTTGGCGCATAATGCACAAGTTCGGTTGTCCCACGAAGTCTGTCGCTGTAGTTCGTCAGTTCCATGAAGGTATGATGGCAAGAGTGCTCGGTGACGGAGAAGAATCCATAGAGTTTCCTGTGTCCGGTGGCGTCAAGCAGGGTTGCGTGTTGGCACCAACACTGTTTAGTATGTATTTATCAGCATTGCTGTCAGACGCCTTCAGGGATGGTCCGAGCGGAATACACCTGTGATATCGAATGGACGGAAAGCTGTTCAATCTTCGCCGTTTGCAAGCGTGCACAAAAGTTCGTTTGACTAGTATCAGAGACCTGTTGTTTGCTGATGATTGTGTGCTGAGTGCGACTTCGGCGGAAACGATGCAACAGGAGCTCGACTGCTTCGCAA